CCCATCGAGTCCTCCAGTCGACTGGGACGTTAAACTCTGTTGTACAAGTCATGTCCTTTTCAAATTATTCACTTTCAATGGGTAAAAAAAAATTCTTATTGTTGCAAAATGCCCGATTAATTTATGCATGACTCACGGTTACCGGCAGGGCGCCGATCAGTTACCGAGGCTTTGTTTACCATGCATTCATTAATCGAAGGTGATAAATAGTCGGTATTGGTCCTATCAGTACGGTAATTGTCCAGCCGGTACAGTGAAGCACCGGCCGGTACGGTAACACAACGGTCGGTACGGTAAAGCAATGACCGCTACGGTAAACCGAGTCAAACTCACAGGAAACCGGCTGGGTGGTAATGATCAGTTCCCTTACACGCTACAGAAAAACAACTGCATGACAGTTTGTGACAGCATTTTTGGAGATGAATACAACTGAAACATGTATTGAGAGAAATTTGGAGAATGTGACAGTATCTTGAAATAGAAAAAACAAAGTCCCCTAGATGTAATCAGAGCGAAGGCACCTCTTTTTCTTCTTGACATTAAGCTCTCTTCTTGACAAGGAAAACCTGTAAACCTACCCCTAGGCCCTGAACACACATTTTGAAGAAAAGACAAACTTATTCAAGCCATCAGTGGGTCCACACTCATCATCAAATTTGATACCAGCCAGGGCATATTTGGATACTATCACTATGGCACTGAGAGAAGTGATGCGTTGTTTACACACAGCTAAAACACTGATTGACTGAACCAGCCACGAATTGTCAAAAATCACCCTTGGACAACTTGTACAATTTCCATTCTTTTCAGCTTCTGGGAGAACTAAAGCCACAAGCAACAATGCAAATCCAAGATAATGCCTAAGAAAGCATGATTCTGAAGCTTCACAATCACAATCTTTAGTCAATGATAATTGCAATCATAGTATTCAAAAAGTAAAGTTTATTCCCTTGATGGTAAAAACATTACATCAACGTTTTGAAATATCTTCTTTTTTCAACATAATACCCAGCCGGCTTATAGTCTGGAACTTTACATCAATACACATTGATCAACTGTTATTATCTACGAAAATGCTGTGACTAACAGTCATATTTGTTAAAATACAAGCCACACATACAAGGTGTTATGCCCCTATTTAAAACATTGACAAATACTATGCCAAAGTATGTACATGTTTTTTTCACACAAATATGTGCTATGACTAACAATGTGTAAACTTGGCGATTCCAACATAACACGCAGTGTTCTCAATACACAAGTTTGACTTACCTTCTCAGTAGTCTGACCTGAGTCATGTTTGAACCTCTGTAGAGTTCCCATTAGGAGACCAAACATACGTCGATTCCTGTTACAATATAATAAACATCAACAAGATTATTGATTGTTTGTCAGACTATATTCACCCGTACTATTAATAATGCAAGTTGAAAATGTTTGAGTTATTCAATTAAGGATGGCAATAGGTTCCAATGCTACTTGTTTGAATTCATATACAACACACTACTGGTCAGTACAAGTTCAAAAAATAAGGTAAGTTAACATCAATCCCTTTATAATACCACATTTATTTCCTCACCTGGCCAATCCTTTCTTATCAGTTGACAAAGCCTCCATGGAATCTTTTCTTGTTCTTGTATCTTGAGGGGTAGCAACAATCGATGACTGTAGGGAGGGCTGCAAAAAATATATAATAATATAAAAATGATGGTGCTGTCAACATAATGTATTCAACTGCATTACCACTCGAGCATGATTTTGATATTCGGGGTCACATTTGCCAAAGCCTTTCAAAATGACAATTTGTCTGACCAGTCAAAAAACCTCATTCTGTTTTAAAAATAAATAATATGCTTCCAAACATGTCACAAAGTGAGCATAAATTGATATTTCATCTTGATTACCATCAATAGAAGCATTTCTGGAGCCAAGTTGTAGAATTCTTAGAGAAGTATATTCATCTACGCTAAATGAGTTTCAGGGCTAATTATGAGATACATAGAACGTGGGCAGCAAGTACTGTCACCACCATATTGTTCCGAGAACAAGACCTCAGACAATGACAGTTAAGACTCGTATAATATTAGGAATGATATAATTAGTTACCTTGTGATCCAAATCATCATCATCGTCTGGATCACTATCTCTTCGACGACTTCCTCCGCTTCCAACTTGACCACCTAATCTGAAATGGAGGAGGAACAAAAGAACCAATGAATATACCTTGTATATAAATTAAAGCAGTAAGGGATCTCGCCAGGCCAATAGGAGTGCTGGTTGCTCATGATATTAATGAGCTATATGAATATTAATGCAGGGTTCTCCCCAGGGCTTTTTAGCGCCGAGGTCCGCGGCGCTATACCTGTGAATCTCGGCGCTTCACTTGGGACCTCGGCGCTATGTGTTCCCACCTCGGCGCTTGATTTCATATTTGACATGCCAATATCGATGTGAAAAAGCTTTGTTCGCCACGCCGGTCGGCC